TATGCAAATGTTGTCTTTCTGCTTTCACTATGAAGCGTGAGTTATCATTGCTTTTGACTGCCATAGACATCAAATTTTTGATCATACGTTGTCCACTTATATTTATCAGGTTAAACTAATAGTTACATTTCATTGATATCATATATTTTGCATGTCCAGCCCCAGTGTCCCAATTTGTACCACTGGGCACCACATAGTATTATCTAACATAATGTACAGATGGTCCTCTCTCTTTCTTCTTATTGTTTTCCACTGTCCAAATCTGATAATATCATGAAAAATTGCTTACTATTATATCAGTGATAAAGTATTACAAGCCAGTTATTCATGGGGAAAATCCAAGTTTCTAAATGTAAGCCACATTAAAGCAGATTGTGGAATAAAATTCAGGATCAAATGTAAGCAATTAATTGCTGTCATAATTGAAGGAAGGGAAGAAGAGAAATTAGTAGATTCAGATAAAACAGAACAGACCTCCCATCTCTGTTTCCCGTACTTTCTTGCATCACACTGAGCACAGAGTGATTTCATTAGGGTGTGTTAGGAACACACTAAGAGAACTCAGGCTCCTGACCGTTGTGCTCCTACATTTTTATTTTAGGTATCCAAAAGTACACCATTGCATTTCTGAATTTTTTTAAAGATTAAATCTTGGAAGGTTTATTGTCTTCACTTTTTGCTTTGTTGATCATTTGATTGAGATTAAATAGTTTTCCAAGGATCTTTGTATACAGTGTCCTTCAGTTCAGTTCAGTCGCTCAGTCGTGTCTGACTCTTTGTGACCCCATGAATCGCAGCTCGCCAGGCCTCCCTGTCCATCACAGACTCCCGGAGTTTACTCAAACACATGTCCAATGCCCTTAGATAACAACAAAACTAGATATGCTTGATATATAATTCAGTATGACACTAGCCCTCATGAATGACAAGAGATACTTATAAAATTACTAGCAATGATAATTACATTACATAGAGAAATTACTCAACCTTTAATGTAGCAAGGGACAATTCCTTGTGCAGTGTAGGCATTTGATATTGTATATGTTGAATAAATGACAAAAGATAGTGTAACTAAGTTATATGTGAACATGCTTTTGTAAAAAAATAAATTCTTAGTTGTGAAGCATACTATATCATTTACACTTAATTTATTCTTCAATCTGTCAGTGTGTATACACACGCACAGAAAATACACACACACACACACGTATATATGGATTTCAGGTTTGTACTGAGTGCAAAATATATATGCAATTTGTAACACACACATATATTGTACTCATATATGTGTGTGTGTGTGTTTTAACAGTATATGAAATATACATATTTATATGGCACTCAGTATAAACTTGAAATCATTTTATCTTTTAACTTATTACCAGTTGGTTATCAAAGAAATCACCTTTCTTGCCCGCGTTGTTTCAAATCAGGTAAGAGGGTACAATTGAAAAATAGAGTTGATCTCTTACAGCACTGTAGACCGGTGCTATTAGCCAACTTGCTGCCATTCTCATAAAAATTATGCAATTTAAACGGGGAGATGCTAGTGCTTGCTTCTGTTAGAAACAAGAACCCTCTTCTACTTCATAATATGCTCAATTACCTTTAGATTGATCCATGAATAAATTATAGTCCAAATAGACTTCTTTACCTTAAAGCTTTGCCGGCTTAAGGTATCCTTGTTGATTCATTATGTTGTCACTTTTCTATCGGCAATATAATGCTTTTAATATCTGGATAGAGACAGTTTTAGTGTGAGATACTGTTATCTTTAAATGAGTAGGATTTAGCTTTTCTGGTGAGGACAAATTCATCAATGATGAATCCCTGGAGAAACTATTGAAACAAAAATCACACCATTTCTGAGCTTTGTTCAGCTCATCAGTTACAAAGCAGCTTTTGAGAGTCCTAAAGAACTTTTTCTTTTGTTTAAGAAATATAGCATGACGCTCAAACCTCTCACTTGGAGTTACCGCAGGCTACAACTTTTTCTGCAAGAAAATAATGAATGAAGAGGAAAAGCTCCTGCTGCTGGCTCTGTCAGGGCCTGCTGCTTCTCCTCCTGAAATAGGAAATCAATTAACTGTATGTTCGGGCAGAGATTTGAGCTAAATGCTTTATTAATCATCGCTGATTGCACACGTATACAGTGGCCCACTATGCCTTCACCTTCACTCTTTCTTATTTTTATTTTGCTCTGGTTTGTCCCTTTGGCAAGATCTAAACACTGACATATGCCTAAGTGTAATATATGGTCCTCAGATACAAGGCACAATTGATCTTTTTTATTTTCAGAAAACTTAACTTTTCAAATGTTTAGTTCTCAGCTATCTTGGAGGCATTTAAATATGAGCAACATAATAATATTTTTTAAAAGCACTGAAATTTCTTATACTAATGCAGAAAGCAAAATGATTATGGAAACCTTGAACTTTTGGAAGCTGCTCCTACACTTCAGTCTCCACATGGCAGTGAGAAACTGCATGCAGAGAGACCCTCATTGATTTGGAAATAAATGGCAGAACATGGAAGGGGCAGCCAGTGATCTGTGTGGATGTGCTGTCAATTTAAAGAAAACTTTGAAAAGTGTTTTCTTTATTTTCCACTGTTTTCTTCAACCAGCACACAGAGAAAATCCTGTAAGAATTGTTATGTTAAATTGAGAACCTCTCCTTAGGATTAATTATAAAAGATTAACACATTATAATTATAGCACCATTAGTCATGAAAAGGCTGCATTAGTTAAATATGGCAAATATGGTCAGCCATTGCCAAAAAAAAAAAAAAATTGCACCAAATAACAAGTGGTTGGTGTCTGTGCAAGCTGTATTCTATTCTGCATCAAATGATTTTTCTATTATTATTATTATTACCATTATTGGAACAATTTAAACAATCACAGTTTAAATTTAACTACTTTATTTCTCTTTGGATAAACAATAATTTAAATAGAAAAGAAATATCTCCTCTGGTCTATGTTTAAAAGTAGACTAACAAGTTCCAAGGATGATTTCTTTTGAATAATGTTATAGAACTTTTAGGTGGAATGAGACTGTGTTGAATAAGATAAGACCCTGTCAAGGAAGAGGATAATGGTTCAGATTTTCATAAAACTTGCCTTCCTATGAGGGATCTGCTAGCCTCAGAGGTCATGTGTTTCACACTAACAAATTTTGATAATCTTCAAGGATGTAAGATTAGGGTGAGAGTGTCCTTGATGTAGAAGTGTGGTGAGAGTGATATTCTGATAAGATTTGTATCAAGTGGACATGCATTCACTGCCTTCTAGGTGTTATCAGGGCCCTAAGGGGCATTGGCACCAAGTGTAATCCCTAACGCCTCATGTGCCAGGGGAAAGAGTCATTTCAGTAGAGGATACTCTAAGCAAGCTTATCTTTTCTATATTAAAGGGCCCTAAATATGTGATAATATTAAGGATTTGTTTTATACTCGATGCGTTTTAATAGGACAGCATCACTTACTTTATGATAAAATAGATACAATATATTCATATATTCTCTCCCTCCATCATATCATTTCATATCACTCTAATCATTAAATATAGTAATTTAGGAAAGCATTAAGGTGCGGAGATGAAGTGTATAGTTCTGGTTTAATTGTATGTAAATTAAATTGGCATTCATAACATTGTTTCTATTTCCTCGACTTGACATAATTACACTAAATTGATAATGGAAGTAACAATCTTAGGTAGTTACACATGAATCTTTTCTGCCAATATAAATTTCCAGGTGCAGTTTGGCTGAATTGTAACATAGTTTAAGTTTAGTTTACCTACCCTACTGACATCTCTAAAGGACAAGAGAACTCACTTTCCTAGGGCATTATGCAGCCTGGCAGGTAGAGGCCAGTGTTTTAAAACAACTATGATTTTGTACCAAAGTACTTGCTAGGTCAGAGATCAGTATGACCTTGGAGTGCTGTAGTTTTCCAAGCCTTCATCAGCTAGATAAATGTGCTTTATTCTGCAGGAGAGGTGGGAGGGGGTTATTTTGGCAGTCTTAGAAAAGAGACCTAGCAGTTCCAGGTTACAAGCAAACACAAAACATTTGGAATTCAATGGTGTCTATCATCAGCAGTATATGTCAGTAAAAGTGCAGATCAAAGGTTCTAGAAGAGAAGGACAAAGTGAAGAGGAAATAATTGTAAGATAATGAATAATAGGAAGGCATATTCATGTTAACTTGAAACCACTTAGCATTTTCCATTTCATCCAGGTATCTTTCTAAATGAACTTTGTAAAGTACAATTGAATAACCTTGAGATTTAAAGCTACATAATGTGATTTTGAATACTGATGGAGTTTGTTTAAGCAATGTGATATCTCTTCTGCTTCTCGTTTCTATTTTTGCCACCTTCATGCAAATAAAGTTTATTTTCTGTACAGAGAAATCAATATTTTTACCATTCTGTTTTTCAGCTATTCCAGTAGACTGTAGTCAACATTAGTTTCAATCTTTAAAGAGATGTAGTAAGAATTTGAACACAATAAAATAGAGATACAGATTAGAACTTTGGCCAAGTATCTTTGCTATTGACAAAAGCATTTGTCAGAGACTGGGCTGTGTCTATACTGTGCTAAAAACCTGATGAAGAGGAAAACAACCATCAATAGGTTTCACTTTCTGTCCATATGAACTGAACAAATGGTCTAACTAATAGCTATCATTTTAAGTGAATCGTCTGATTTTACCATTGTGAATTTTATTCCGTTTTTAGAGATGTATTTTAAATTAACATTTGTATATATAACACATATATACTTGGTAACAGTATTGTGATATTGTGTTCTTTTTAATAATTAATGAAATCCAATACCTAGAAGACTAAAGGTCCAAGAATGAAGACCTTGTTGCAGTTTACCTGAACCAGTCTCCAAACACACATTTTGTTTGTTCGTAATATTTATGTGTTTATATTCTCACATTTTTCTATTCTGTGAACTAACATACTTTATTGTTTGTGTGTTTTCCTATTAGAAACTGCCAAGTTTTGGACCTTATCTTGAGAAGCGCAAGAAAATTATAGCAGAGGAAAAGTTTAGACTGAAAGAAGAAAATGCTACCTTTCCACCACTTGAGAGAAACCATTTTATCCCAAAAAAAACTATTCCTTCTGTTAAGGTAAAGATTAAGCTGTGTTTGTGTGTGTATTTATATATATATGTCTATTTTACTGTTTAGTTTGTGTTTATTTCCTGTTTAAATACATCACTGGTTTTATTTTTAAAATATATTGAAAGTTTAAAAATTTTTGTCTGTGATGACAGGATAGCCTCTTTTGTATGCATGCATGCTCAGTTGGCTAAGTTGTGTCTGACTCTTTTGCAGTCCCATGGACTGTAACCCATCAGGCTCCTCTGTCCATGAAATTTCCCAGGCAAGTATACTGGACTGGGTTGCCATTTCCTCCTCCAGGGGATCTTCCTGTCCCAGCGATCGAATCTGTGTCTCCTGCATTCCAAGTAGATTCTTCACCGCTAAGCCACTGGGGAAGCCCTGCATGATCAATATGCACCATCAATATCAACATGGTACCTTACATTGTAGAAGAACTTTCTCCACTTCAGCCTGAGAAAGTCTGTTCAAATTTGGGTTTTATAATTATTTTCTGGATAATATCAAAAATTATTATTAAGATGGAATTATGTGTGCATTCTATTTCTTGTTTTTCTTCAACTTTTTCATTTGAAAGAGATGTAGATTCACATACAGGTGTAAGAAATAATACAGAGAGGTCTTGTGTACCCTTTACATAGTGTCTGCAGTGTAGCATGTTGTAAAACTGTAGTACAGTATCACAACCAGGAAAATGACAGAGATACAATCTACTGATCGTATTCAGATTTCTCCAGTTGTACTTCTTCTCATTTGCATGTGTGTGCATACATGTGTGTTTAGTTCATGCAATTTCACCCCATGTGTAGGGTCCTGTGTGCACCACAGGCAGATACAAGATTTCCATCAGCATAAAGAACCCTCAGCTTGCCCCCTTATGGCCACATCTACTTCACTCCTGCCCACCTCCCTCAAGATGGAATTATTTTAAAGCAATAATAATGGGAAAGAAGGGAAACGGGGGAGGATTACAGGCCCACATTCTCTCTGAAATCACTGTCACTGAATGTGCTTTACATTCACTGAAACTTATTCTTCTCTTTTCGGTGACTACCTACTCCTACATCCCCATTTTCCGGTTGAAGCATCAGTTGAAAAGCTTGCTCTTAGGAGTTTTCTGGAATTCCTCTTTAGTAGTCAAATAGAAATTGGAACCCTTAAAAATGTCTTCTACCTATGAGAGAGAAAAAATAATGTGCCCTATAAAAAAACAGTGGAATTTTTACTTGATGTTGGGAAGGTTAAATGATTCAGAGTTCTGAAACGAAATATGGAAGTGGCTGAACACAAATTCTACCAGCACTTCACTGCCGTAATTCCAAATAAAGTGAACACTTGGGACTTTCAACAATAAAATAGCCTCAAAGAGTCTCTTGAGCTGTTTCCTTTAAATTATTTGTGCGCTACTAAAAGGATGATGTGGACACAGATGATAAAGAAGAAGCTGGATCCTTCAGCTCTTCACAACCGCCTCCCATGTTTAACTATAACTACTGTATGATTTGGGGTCAAGTGGGAATTCTGGGTCTGTTTCTCTAGTTAATTAATCTGAAGGAAACATAAGATCTCCATCTTTGCTGTATGTATAAAAGAAAGTAAAATATTATTTATATTTGAAATAAAAGAAACGCAATGTAAAAGCATTGCAACTTTTTCCAGTCTTCTATTCCTTCATAGCATCCAGTCCTATCACTTCATGGCAAATAAATAGGGCAAAGTGGAAACAATGACAGACTTTATTTTCTTTGGCTCCAAAATCACCATGGATGGTGACTATAGCCATGAAATTAAAGACACCTGCTCCTTGGAAGAAAAGCTATGACAAACCTAGATAGCATATTATAAAGCAGAGACATCACTTTGCCAACAAAGGTCTGTATGCTCAAAGCTATGGTTTTTCCAGTAGTTATGTATGGATGTGAGAGTTGGGCCATAAAGAAGGCTGAGCACTGAAGAACTGATGCTTTCAAATTGCAGTGCTGGAGAAGGCTCTTGAGAGTCCCCTGGACAGTGAGGAAATGAAACAAGTCAATCCTAAAGGAAATCAACCCTGAATATTCATTGGAAGGACTGAAGCTGAAGCTCTGATACTTTGGCCACCTGATTCAAAGACCCCACTCATTGGGAAAGACCCTGATGCTGGGAAAGATTGAGGGCAGGAGAAGGGGGCGACAGGGGATGAGATGGTTGGATGGCATCCCTGACTCAATGGGCATGAATTTGAGCAAACTCCGGGAGACGGTGAAGAACAGGGAAGCCTAGCGTGCTGCACTTCATGGGGTTGCAAAGAGTTGATCACAACTTAGCAACTAAACAGCAACAAATTCCTTCAGGAAATGTAGAAGCAAAACAAAAAGAGAACAAACAAAGGACCTGCTGTAGTTGAATTAAAGCTAGCTAATCACTAATCCAAATAAAATATCAAACTGAGCAGAATTTTAAAAAAACCAAAGAAATGGGAAGTCAAGAAAATAAGTGAGCATTGTTTTTAAATTCTGAAGGAGAGATGAGGTGTCTTATTAGAAGTAATACAAGCTGACATTTCTATTCTAAATTGTCATATTTCAGATCCAAATTGAATTATCCCAAGTATTACTGTACATTAAGCCTCAAGACACTGTGGATACCAACTTCCTATCATCTAAGACCATAACAATGTTGACTGACAAATTAAAGGGTTGCTATGGTAGATTTTTCTCACTGTCAAGTGGGTTTGCTACTGCCTCTTCTCCCCAGGACGCACATACCCATTCTACCATTATCACTTTTAGGAAAACACTGTGTCCTAGAAAGCATAATAGGAACTGATATTGGGTGGTGGGGGTCTGGAAGGTGAAGGAACATTTTCATCAGTTATAAGCGCAACTCTCTCTTTGGGAAATGGGGAGTTACTTGTTACAACAATGATTTCTTATTTCATCTTGCTTTCTATAAGGTTTTATATTTCTATAGAATGGAACAGAGTTTATGTTTTAGAGGAAGAAGGAAGTAGAGGTCTGTTCTTATCCCAAAGGTATCCATGGTGGCTTTAGATGACTCTTCATCTCTAAAGATATGATATTGTTACCAAAAGTGAACTCTGTGTGTGCATGTGATAGTATTTTTAATTTAAGTATATTTCATTCAAGACTCTCCATTTCCTTGTATCTAATAAATTCAGTTTTACTCATATTCCAATATGATTTTCCAGACTAGGAGAGAAAATTCATATCTTGTGAGCATCCATGGAAGTGTATAGCAATCAGTAGCTCTAATGTGCCTGTACTGTTCCAAGTTCTATACCTGTTTTATCTCATTTAATCTTCATAATACCTGGGACAGGTATATATTATGTATAAAGGTATATATATGGGCTTCCCAGGTGGGTCAGTGATCAAGAATCTACCTGCCAGTGCAGGAGATGCAGGAGACATGGGTTCAGCCCCTGGATCAGGGAGATCCCCTGGAGGAGGAAATGGCAACCCACTCCAGTATTCTTGCATGGAGAATCCCATGGACAGAGGAGCCTTGTGGGCTACAGTCCATGGGATCACAAAGTGTTGGACACAACTGAGCAATTGACCACACAACAACTCTATGTGACAGAGTAGTTCTTGGCTTAATTCAGAAAACTATTTTCCCATTAATGTAATTTGCTAAAATCTTACAAACTTTGCTATGTATTTCAATGAAGGAAACAGCTTCTTAAGAATTCCTTGCATTGACTTTCTTCAAACATGCGCTACTTCCTAAAAGGACACTGGTAAGCCCAAATTCAATTTCATTAAATATTTATGGCATTGCAGTAAGTAGAAAATCATAAGATATGTCATTATTTTATCCAAGATGACTTCATATCTTATCTGGACTCTGTTCCTCCCTTACTTGTCAAGAATACTGGAGTGGTTTGCCATTTCCTCCTTCAGGGAATCTTTCCGACCCAGGGATTGAACCTGTGTCTCTTGCATCTCCTGCATTGGCAGATGGGTTCTTTCACCACTGCACCACCTGGGAAACCCCTCTGTCACACTACTTGGGTTCAAATCATGGCACTACCACTTAGCAGCTATGTGAACTTGCCTCAGCTAACTAATCTGTAAGATGGACATAATAAAATAGTCTGCCTCATGGAATTATAAATTAGGTAGTGTGTGAAGTGCTTTTTAGCCTGTGCTGATGTGCTCAGTCATGGCTGACTCTTTGTGACCCCATGAACTGTAGCCCACCAGGTTCCCCTGTCCATGGAATTTTCCAGGCAAGAATGCTGGAGTAGGTTGCCATTTCCTTTTCCAGCTTTTTAATCTACACCTAAATATATCCTAAATAAATGTTATCTGCTATTAGTTATGATGTTAGGAATGGACAATTTGAAGGAGGTAACCGGTTAGGGTGACCTTCCATTTCCTTATGTCAAACAAAATAAACTTAAGAGTGTAAAGCTCTGGAGGTCAACCAAGCTGGAAGTCTTGAAGAAGTTCATATATTTTTCAGGAAATCTTTATTGCATACCTACCATGAGACAAGCAATGTGCTAGGAATTGGACATCTATAGTACAAAAAATAAAAGACATAGCCTCTATCCTCATGAAACATATAGAACTGAGAAAGAAACATAAAATTATGTTTATACTACAAACTGTAAAGAAAAAATACAAGATGTATGCAGTATTTTTCATAGCATGACCTAGTTTAGATTGAAGGGGATGAGGAAGGCCTCTTTGAGAAAGTGACATTTAAGGACTGTAGACTGGGTAGTGACTAGAAGGTTAAGAGGAAAAGGGGCTATTCCCAGTGATAGGGTAATAGAGACAGAGGTGAAATTGATGAAGTCCTGTTAATTCTTCTAAAACTTAGTGATTCTTTTATATACTGGGCTATTAGGAAGGGTAAGGAATTGCAATTAAGGAGGTTAAGATGCTTAGATTATTGATAGTACCAGTAACTAAAATAAAGAAAAATAAAAGATAATGAATCAGGGTTTTTTCCTTGGTGTTTTTAGGTTTGATGAGTTTTTTTGATGTGGATGAAAAATTCAGATTTGAACATACTGAAGTTAGTGAACTCAGGCTAATTATGGACCTGTGCTGGAGGATATAAAGAGAAAACTAACATACTGACCGCCTACTAGTTGCCAGACACAGACAGTAGCTTCTCGTATATTTTCTTATTTCTTGCTTAACCTAGTACCCTATGAGGGAATAGGACGTTCTGGGGAAGAAAGTGGGATCAAGTGATCAAGGAAATAAGAGAATAACCAGAAGGAAATGGTGAAGTGGAGGGGGGAAAAAGAGAGGAAGTCTGAGGAAGTGGACCACAGATCAGAAAGTGCTACTCATCTTAGCAAGGGCATCCAATAATGTTTTATTGTGTCTTTCACGTGTAACCACTGAGATTTCAATTTCCAACTGGCAGTAATTATCCTATTTACCCATACATCCATTTTGTCATTCATCCAATGACTATTAATATCCACTCACTATGTTCCAGCAATGCTCTAGTCACCAGCAAGTCAGTAGTGAACAAAACAAAAGCCCAATTCTGAGGGTGCCTACATTTTAGTGAGAACAGACAATAAACAAATGAGCGAGTGGATACATACTGTTACCAGATGGCCACAGCGCTGTGGAGAAGATTCAGCAGGTTTTGGAGAAAAGGAATTGCCGGAGAGGTTGGTTGGTCAGGGGTTGCCTGCCTGGTTAAATGGCATGAGTAGACACATCACAGAGACAGAGTGATAAATGCAAATAAGCACCCAAGGGTGCAGCCTTCCATTCAAAAGGAACAGAAAATGCAAAGACTCTGAAGTAGGAAAGTCCTTGGCAGGAAACTATGGAGGCTTTTTAAAAGGAAGAATGACGTAATCAGACTGAGTTTTTCAAAGGGTCATCTGGCTGCAGTGTTGAGCGACATCCTAGATGGGCAAGGACAAAAGCAGGGAGACTGGTTAGAAGGCTATGGCAACAAGATAGGGGAGGCATCGGCAGGAGGGAGAATAAACACTAGATGTCAGAAGGCCACAGCTCCATTGTTCTAAATGAAGTGATGTGTGTGAGCGTATCGTACTAAGCCTGTTTGCCCAGCGGCTCAGTTGTGCCCAACTGTTTGTGACCCCATGGGCTGTAGTCCGTGAAGGTCCTCTGTCCACTGGATTCTCCAGGCAAGAATATTGGAACAGGTTGCCATTTCCTTCTCACGGGCATCTTCCCGACCAAAGGATCAAACCTGCAGCTCTTGTGTCTCCGGCACTGGCAGGCCGATTCTTAACCACTGAGCCACCTGGGAAGCCCCCTCACCTAAAGCATAATCAAATGTAAGGGGACACAGTTATTGTTCCTTTCATACAAGCCCCCCGCCCCCTTCCCCATTAATTCCCACTCCATCTGGATGACATTGAAATTAATAGCCACGTTCCCTTTAAGAGTCATCTTGCCTCTGCATGTGAATCAGACACTGCTTTTATTGTTTCACTCTATCACACTTACCCAGGCACACTACATTCTTCCCTCTGCGCTTCATCATCACTTTCATGCTTTCTCTACAGTGTTTCTCCTATGCTTGACATAATCATTTTTCCTTCTTCCCTTTTTCCTGAGGGTCTGAGTTATCTGTTTTCATGCTTAATATTTTTTCTGTCCACCCATCTGTTTATTTTAGCTTCCTTGTTCTCTCCTCTGCTGGCCTCTTTATAGATTCCTCTGTTCAATAGTTTAAACTCCATGACAATGCTTTGTTTATCCTCTCAGCTAGCACAGTATATTATTCCCCATCTGCTACAGAGAGGGCCCCAGTGCCCCACAAAGTTAACTAAGCCCCTCTTGTCTGAACAAGTTTTTCAGTCATGCATTCAAGTTTCTAATCTACCCCCATCTTCCCTGGTTATGAGTGTGACAATATTATTTCTAAGCAAGCCATGCTCAATAGATCTCATCTTTTGTTCTTCTTTTTCTTTCAAATACCTCAGATAAGAAGTAATGGTCTGCTGCTACAGAGTAGGCAGTTTCAATATCAGTCACTCAGTAAATATTTATTGAGTATTTGCTATGTGACTGGCAGTGTGCTAAGGACTGGGTCTATTTCCAGAGACATGCAAGGTACACAGTTCAAGGCACCACCATTTTCCTGATCTCGGAGGAGATGTAGTGCTAACATATATTTACTATGCACTCGCTGCAATCCAGGAATTGTGCTAGAAACTGGGAATACAACATGAATTTTAAAAAGAAAGATATCTATCTTTATGGAGCTCATAGTCTAACAAGGGAGAGAGACACATGTTAAAAATTATTTACAGTTCATTCAAATATGTACAAAATGCTCTGGGAACAGAGAGGAGTGAAAGGGATTAGTTCTGCCTCGGGTAATTGTGGAAAGCTTCACAGAGATGGTGATATTTAACATGGAATTTAATAAATTAGTGTTAATTAAGCAGAGAATTAATAATAAAAGCTAATATTTATTGAGTACTTATGAGGTTTCAGGCACTGTTCTGCATGCCTGTGAATTAACTCATTTAAGCCTCAACCACAGCCCTATCAGGTACCCATATTTTCCCTAGTTTACTGATTAATTAATAAACAGAGAGGTTAAATAACTTGTCTAAGGTCACACAGCTAGAAAGATGTCAAAACCAAAATTTGATTCCAAAATCTGGCTCTAGAACTTGAGCCCTTAATCACTGTCTTCTACTGTCTCTCATGAAAGGGAGGAAAGAAATAAAAGGAAGGTGGCATTTTAAGCATATGAGTATGTTGGCAAAGCATAGTATTAATACATACTTGGAATAATTTGCAGCCATGGGATCTTAAATCCAATACAACTCATTCTTTTGTTCAATAAGATTTATGGAAAGGACCAAACTAAGAGGTAATAATGAGGAAAATAATCCCGTTTTCTCCATTGGTCTTAATATAATGTGAAAGGGCAAGGGGATGTACTGATTACACTTCTAAGAATTTCAGCTGAAACACCAGGAGTTACACAGTAGTACACTGTGACTAAAGGGTCCCTAAGAACTAGAGAAGGAAATGGCACCCCACTCCAGGATTCTTGCCTGGAAAATCCCATGGATGGTGGAACCTGGTAGGCTATAGTCCCTGGGGTTGCAAAGAGTTGGACAGGACTGAGCAACTTCACTTTCACTTTCACCTTCAAGAACTAGAAGTCTTTGCTAGCCAACATGGTATCCAGGTTCTCCTTGCATCCTTGGAAGCTAAAAACTGGTCTCAGAGACTGTCAGTCCTACAGCAAGGAATAGTCTAGGGCCCGAGAGTCAGCCGGGCTTCCCCAGTGGTTCAGATGGTAAAGTGCCTGTGTGCAGCGTGGGAGACCCAGGTTCGGTCCCTGGGTTGGAACGATCCCCTGGAGAAGGAAATGGCAGCCCACTCCAGTACTCTTACCAGGGAAATCCCATGGACAAAGGAGCCTGGTAGACTACAGTCCACGGGGTCTCAAAGAGTCGGGCACGACTGAGAAACTTCACTTTCACTAGAGTCAGCCTGGCATCCAGTCAGTTTCCTCTTCATCAACCCTACATCTTGGCTTCCACTTCATAGTGACACAGCCTTTATTGTAAATATTGCCATACTGTGGGGCTTTCACTTTTGTGAAAGAAACTGAAAGAAAAGGTTTCAGAGGAAGAGGAGAGTAATCCAAATCAGTATTGGAAGACTGAAGGGGAAGAATGAGATAAAATAAGCAAAAGAGAGCTGGCCTCCAGCAATAGATAAAAGTCTTCTCAAAGATGAACCAGGACCTGCTGAAGAAGCTCCTGACATTCCACAGGTTCACCTGTGCTAGAGAAAAGAAGCCAAATAGGAGGCAGTTTTGTCTCCTGGCTGAAGAAAACTGAAGTGACAGTGTGCATATTTGGCCCTGCTAAACGAGAAACGTGCTTTATTCCCAGGCAGCCTATAACAGAGATTTGAGATTCTGCCAAGACTTATAAAGTTCCCCGAATGCTTCCCACTTCTGTTGATATATATGAGAATGAATTCTCCTTCTCTTTATGAAGTCAGGAATGTATCTCTAACGTCTTTGAATTTCTGGGTAGGAAAATGAATGGTTTAGGGGCACTAGTGATGTTTTCATCTCTTCTTCCTGCTGCTTCTAGTAAGAGATGGACTGCATCTCATAAGACTGGCAAGACGGTGTTGGCAGGAGACCAGTCAGCCTGATCGAGTGGTTTATTATTTCAATTGAGTTGTGAGGGGAAGGAGAAAAGTACTCCGATAAAACTGTAAGGCCATATTATATACTATGAAGCCTAAAAGGCATGACACAGAAAGAAAAATACTGGAGGACTTTCCCAGCAATTTTCAGAAGATACCAGAGAAATGGGCAGGAGGTATTCACATTCTCAGTTGTCTGTATACAGACAAATAGGAGATGAAAAATTGTCAAACAGAACTTTAAAACACATGAAAAGAATTTTTGGCAAAAATCATCTCTTAAGTCTTGCGAGGATATTTTGAAATGTGATTCCTGACTAGAATATGATGATGGAAAGGTATATCTTGTTCAAAATAAATAAGTCTAATTGAAGGGCTGGAGGAAAAGCAGTATATGTCAAAAGATGTGCACATGCATGGAAATCCACATACCTGAAGGTAAAGCATGGAGGAAGCAGCTACAGGAAAGTATGAAAGGAGAACAGAAGTGTTATCATGGGATTGCATCAGAGACCTCGTAACCAGATGGTTAATATGGAAGGGCAAGATAGAGCAGCGATGGAAGCCTTTATAGACTTCAGATGAAAATCCCACTCCACTAAAGGCAAAACTTCGGAAAAATTATTGAATTGCCTTGTTGGAAATTTAATCTCACAAAAGAGAAAGAAGCAATGAGGGACTTACTGCATTGGCTTATTTCTGGCTCCTTATAAAAATATGTTTGTGGAAAATGGCAGCTAAAAGAATCTTGAAGGAAAGTAACCATTCTATATCATCTTAGAGTTCATTAGGCCATAGAAAGGAAGTCTGAAGTAAAATGTATGCCACCTTAAGTGAATCTACTTTCAGGGAATTTAGAAACAACAACAGAAAACAGTCCCATAGCCAGAGCTCTAATTTGGATGATGATGAAGAAGAATGAGAAGCTGCCAAATTGAAATTTGATGACATAATCTCTGAGTTTCACAAGGAGTAGGAAAAGAGTTAAGCCTTTAGGTAATTCCGTTTTCAATGGTCATATGAGAAAATAGAGATCATATGACCAACGATGATCAGAAAAGAGTGGCATCAAGATTTTAACATGTTTCAGAAATAACAAGGCCTCAAATTATCTGAATTTGGAGAAAATATTAGGAAAAATAGAAATGTACTTTGTTAAAGTTTTTTTTTAAAAGGGAAAGAGAAAACACCTATTACTTTGAATAACTGGTATATAGTTAATTTACAATTAGAACTGTTCAATTCCCATTATCTGTCTAGCATCCCCATAAAGAACGCTCTCAGAACCAAAAAGAACAGGGAAAACATATTCAAGAGTTGAATAAGGTAAGGATACAGTAAAAACACATCACATTTAGCCTCATTAAATGCATTTAAATCTAAAGTGGCAAGAATGTGCTACTTTAAAGCCTGAACCAACCCACATAAAAAGAATACAGTGATCAGGGCCACAAATCTGTACTGAACCAACCTTCACTACACCCAAATCACACCCTTCTGTCTATCTCCCACTCCACCCTCTCACCTCACGCACTTCATTTCCCAGATCTTCATTAGCTTCTGGGCTTCCCTGGTGGCTCAGAGGGTAATGAATCTGCCTGCAGTTCAGGAGACCTGGGATCAATTCCTGGGTCAGGACGGTCGCCTGGAGAAGGGAGTGGCAACCCACTCCAGTATTCTTGTCTGGAGAATCCCATGGACAGAGGAGCTTGGCAGGCTACAGTCCATGGGATTGCAAAGAGCT